TACAGAAGGAAATCAAGAATAAGATGGACCAACGAGGGTGACGATAACACAGCCTTCTTCCATAGGGCAGTGATTGCAAACCAAGGTAGAAATTGCATCAAGTTTCTTAGAGGGTCAGACGGTCTCAGAATTGAAAACCAGGATCAAATCAAGGATATGGCCGTAGCTTATTTTCATAATGTCTTGGGTTCAGAGAGTGTTGGAGTTTCCCCTCTTTCTGTTCAGTAGATTAAGGATCTGGTTGGTTTTAGGTGTTCTCAAAGTCTAGAAGCTCAATTGGTGGCTATTCCTTCAGATGTTGAGATTAGAGACACTCTTTTCAGGATGCCTAGAAACAAGGCCCCTGGTCCTGACGGCTTTCCTATGGAATTCCGGAAGATGTGCTCGCTATTTCCGCGTATATGTGGGATGTGACTTGGTTACTATTTCATATGTTTGACCCACATTATTACAAGAACAAATGTAAAAACCTAATTTAGTTCGTCTTTCTCTGCTTTATCGTGTATGGTATGATATATCATGGATTTTACTGCTTTTATGATGTATGTATCGGTTTTAGAGTCTTATTGTTGTTTCTAGAGTCTTTTCTAGTCATATTCAGGTCTTTACATGTTTGGGATATATTTGGAAGATAAGGAAGCATTATGGAGCTAAACCGGGGAACAAGAGCTGAAGAGACGAACTTAGAGTCAGACCAAGGCAGGAGTGTCGATCGACACCGTACGCGGCCCAGCAAAAGTCTTGATGGTTTAAGAGTTTTGAAGCCTACATAATCGGCCTAGAAGACTTTCCTATTTACAATTTTAGTCCCTGCACGTTTTTGAGACATTATAAATAGTTTTTAGGGTTTTTATTATTCATCATCAAGCAATCTTGCAATCTTGCTTTCAGCTTTGTAATTCTCTAAGCTTGAACCCTTTGAAAGATAACTGGAGATAGCTACTTTCAGCGATTTCAAACCCTTGTAGTGAGAAGATCTTTTCTAAACTCTATTCTACTTTTGATTTCTTTATGTAAATTTATTCAAACATGCTTTCTGTTTCTATGATCATGTCTGAGTAGTTTCCCTGTTAGGTTTAGGGATTTTCATTAGGGATTTAGATAAATTAGTAGATCGATAACCTGTTAAGATTAATCTATAGAGTTCTTCACTTTTGATTGTTCTTAATGCTAGTTCTAGAGTAGCTAACTAGACATTGATCTTAGGATAATAGGTTAGACACAAGAGTACGCCTATTACTGGTACTATCTGAGGTAGGCAGAAATTACTAGATATAGACGAGAGTTGGTCTAATCTCTGTGAACATATCAAACCGGATTTTAATGCTAGGCTAATTTTAGGAGTTTACAGACGAGAGTTGGAACTTTCTGCTATTAGGTTTTAGTCAATTCAGGCGAGAGTTGGTTGGCTATAGCTTAGTGATTTGAGTTTTAGAACAGTTCGATAATAATCCTAATTAATTGCTAGATCTACTATTTGTTTATTTCCTGAGAAATTCTCTAAACCTGAAACTTTAATCTACTTGAATTCACACCCGATTTAATTGCTTTTATGTTTTTTAATTTCTCATATTTTATGTAGCTTAATTTTGAGACTGTTAGCTTATTGTGTGAACAAAGATGTTTGTGAAATTCGACCCTTAAGTACTAAAATGATCTCTTATTTGAGAGAGTAAACTTGAGGTCTAATTTGTTCTATATCATGGTACATGACAACTAGGCTATTATTTTTATTGTCAGATTTTAAAAATAAATACTTATTTGGCTACATAGATAGTATGATATAATTTATAAATTAATAGTTTAATTATTGAGAGTTTGGTTATGCACAATTTCTTACTTGATTTATCATTTGATCTTCCATATAATTTCCTAGTATTATCTACAATTGGTTACTTGATTTTACCATTTTTCTTCAAAATTCAATTTTAATAGATTTATGTATATCAAATATGATTATTATAAGATATTATGTCATTTGACATACTATGCCAACAATAGTAATACATATGTGTGTATATATAATATATGAAACACAAAAGCCAATAACAAAGCAAAAAAATCTAAATATCTACCCAAAAAAAAAAATGAAAAACTTTTCAGTCTTTCTATTCATTTTTAGTCTTTGCATGCTTGGCCATGTATCCGGCTCTGGAATCTGGATCGCGAACGAACTCAAATTCAAAAAAATTCTTTGGATTAGATGTTATTCCAAAGATGACAAATTAGGTCCACAAACAATACCAATCGGACAACATGTTGAAATTTCTTTTCGTAATAATTTCTGGGGTACAACGCGTTTTATGTGTACTTTGAGACAAGGGCCTAACTATAAACATTATCAGGAATTTACAGCATTCAAGCTTTCCGGTTTTATGGATGAGGGAAGCGTATGGGACTGGAGAGCAAGAGAAGACGGAATCTATTTAAATAAAGGTGGCAAACATATCAGGAATCCGGTTGATATGCGTAAAGTGTATGATTGGAAGACAGATTAAAAATGTTTAACAATCTATCTAAGAATAAAAAAATTTATCTTATCAATTTGAAAGAAAAAAATTTATACATAGATAAAAAAATATCTTCTCAAGTTATAATATGACTAAAAGTAAAAATAAATAAATAAATAAATATATATATATATATATCTTATTATATAAAACTTGGTTTTTAAAATTAGTAACTCATATGATCGTGACACATGTCAAATTTATCGTTTAGAGATTTTACCATGTGAAACACAAATATTTTGTTCTTAACAATTTGTCAAATGTAAAAATATATTTATAAGAAAATTATATATAATTTTTAACCATTTTAAATATATCTTTAATAAAAACAATTACATTTATATCTTTAATTCGCATAATATTATATATATATTTATATGGATATATTTGATATGATGGACATATTAGTTTCGATATATATAAATATTTTAGATCTTATCAAGAGTACGTAGAATTAAAATCAGATTTATTATGATAAAATATATGGTTAATTTGTATTGTTAAAAACAAAATATAAGATAAAAAAAAATTTAATAGATTAAGTTATAAAAATAGAATGTAAGTTACCGCTCAAAATTCAAATCCTTATAATTCATTTCAATTTTTTTGTAAATACGTTTAAAACCATTTAAAACCCTTATAAATATTTTATAACCATTGTAAATCCTTTTAAAACCCCTTGCAAATCTTTTTAAAACTTTTAAAATTTTTTATAAAATTTTAAACCCCCTTGTAAATCGTTTTAAGACCTATATTAAATCCTTTAAAAAGCCTTCAAAATCCTTAAAAATCCATTGTAAATCCTTTATGAACCCGTTTTAAACTTTTATTATTTTTTTTAAAAAAGCTCTTGTAAACCCTTTAAATACACATAATGGTTTAAAGGGTTTTTGCCAGAAAATTCATGTTACGAGTAAAATACACATAATGGTTTTATCCTTAACACATGCGCTTCTCGTCAGCCTTCTTGAGATTATAATTCAACAGCTTAATTGCCGGCATATGACATGACTTCCCATATACCATGTGGAATGGGGTTGTCCCAATGGGAGTTTTGTAAGCAGTCCAGTATGACCAGAAAGCGTCGTCGAGTTTTCACGACCAATCTTTCCTTGAATTTGTTTACCGTCTTTTCCAAGATATCTTTTACTTCTCGGTTTGCTGCCTCAGCTTGGCCATTCATTTGACTGTGATATGGTGTGGCCACCTTGTGAGTTACGTCGTACTTTTTTAAACAGTCCTCCCAAAAATATGTTGACGAAATGTTTCCTACCATCGTTGATCACTATTCGTGGTACACTGAATCTTGGAAAAATGGTATCTTTAAATAATTTCTTTGCGACCTGAGAATCATTCTTGGGACTAGCGACAGCTTCAAACTATTTGGACAAATAGTCAACAACGATCAAGATATACACATTTCCTTGAGATGGTGGGAAGGGTCCCATAAAATCTATTCCCCAACAATTGAAAAACTTCGATTTCCAGGACATACTATAGAGGCATTTTATTTCTTCTTTCGATGTTTCTCCTCTGTTGGCAAGCATCACAATTTGAAACAATTTATTTGCACCATGAAAAAGTGTTGGCTATAAAAGACCAGCCTGTAAGACCTTCGAAACAGTTTTCAATGTAGCAAAGTGCCCGCCATAATCGAATCCGTGATAATGAAGGAGGATACCCTGCATTTCAGATTCAGCTACACATCAGCGATAAAGGCCGTCAGCACATTGCTTATAGAGGAATGGCTCGTCCCAATAATAATGCTTAATGTCACAAAGGAACTTCTTCTTTGCGTATCCTGAGAAATTTGGTGGTTCAATTTCGGCACGGATGTAGTTTGCGATCGGTTAGAATGGCTTCAGGTAACCGATCGGCTGAATCAGTAACCATATCCTCAGCACTTATCTTGTGGCTCTCCGTGAGCTGTTTCATCAATATCTCAAGAGGACTCTCCTGCGGAATTTCTTCAGCAGGTGGGGCTTGGAAAGGGGGTGAAAGGATGTAGTGTTGAAACCTTGGTTGTGACTTGTTGTTTTCAAAGCATGTTCCCCTGCCTTGGAATTTCCCTGTAAAATTCTTTTATCCTTGAGGGTTTCCAATATTGTTTCCTTTTCCAGAAAGATTGGGTTGATATTTGAAGCTTTGGTCGAAATCATGGTTTATCCGACAAAACTTATCTCTTCTTGTCTCCAAGCCCCCTATTACCTTCTTGGTAGTTGTCAACATCCCAATAAATGCTCAATTACTTCTTAAGAAAGTTGACTTTCTTCTTTAGCTTCTTGACCTCGTTAGTTTTCATGATGTTAGCAACCTCTCCCTTGGAGTCTTTGTGGCTGGGGAATGGTATTTGGACTTGCGGCAAGGTTGTTGATCAACTTGGTAGCCTCACTCACGGTGTTGGTGGTAAAATTTCCTTGACCTGTAGTGTCAAAAGCCAGCTGGTACTTCTCGTGAATACCGTGGTAGAAAATGTGCATAAGCGTGCTGAAACTGTGGTGTGAGCTTACTCTTTAATATCTACTGAATCGATCCCATGCCTCGTAGAAGGATTCTTGTCCTCCTTGCACAAAAGTGGAGATCTTATTCCTTATCGTAATGATCTGTCACTTGGGAAAGAAATCATTGAGGAACTGCCTTCTACATTCAGCCTAGGTGGTGACTGATCAGGTAGGCAAGAGTCTTAATCATCCCATTGCTTTGTCTCCTGCAGAGAACTTAAACAGGGTAAGCTTTAGGTAGTCTTCAGGAACTCCGTTAGCTTTCGTCATGTTGCACAAGTCTTAAAATTGTTGTATTTAATCCATGGGATTCTCTATAGAATGATCATTGAAGAGGTGTTGCTTCATGAGCCCGATGATTTGAGGTTTGATCTCGTAACCAGCTTGAGGTATTGCTGGAGGTTGAATCACGGCTCTGTTTGCATAGAAATTGTTGGGATTGTTGAATTCTCCAAATGTTCGCTCACATTCAACAATGTTATCTCATGAACCAATCAGTGCTGGATTGTTACCGATCGGTAGATTGATTGGCGTATTACCGATCGGTGGTTGTTGTTAACCGATCAGCATATTTGTAGGTTGTACACCAATCTCTGCAGGTTTAACAAATTGGAATTTCCTTTTTGTCCTTGTTTGCATTCTCCTGAAACACATAGAAACAAGAGAAGGTTTTTAATTAGTAAATAGTATATAAAATAATAAAAAGTAAAAATCGTAGACCAAATTTAAATTAAAAATTTAGTGGCATTTGCTTTATTCCCTCGCAACGGCGCCAAAAACTTGTTACAAGTAAAAATACATAATAGTTTTATCTTTAATATAGACCACAAGTGCACATGCAATCATAGTTGTATTTAGGGATTGAATCCACAGAGATAAAAAAAATACACAAAAGACTTGCAAAGACTAAAATTAAGCTAGGACAACAGGGAGTTACAAGAACTCAAGGAGGTTTTGCATAAATAAAATACATAATAAAAATAAGTAAATATAATATAATATACTCCCTCCGTTTCAAAATATAAGTTGTTTTGGAGAAAAAATTTTGTTTCACAATATAAGTCGTTTTCAAGTTCCTATGCAAATTATATGTTATTTTGATATTTTATTATTATTTATACTAGAACTCAAGACCCCCGCGATGTTGCGGGGGAATATATTTCAAAAATCGTTTAAAACATATCAAACGAAAAATCAAAATGAATTATAATAATTTTGATTTTTTTAAAATATCAAATCAATATATATTTTACAAAAATTATGATAAAAAAACCCTCACAAGCATTTATTAAGTATATGAATATTTTTAAAACATTAATTTGTAACTAAAAAACTATTCCCAAATGCAAAAAGCATCAAATAATAAACCAAAGGTTACAACGGTTTGATAAATAAACCAAAATATTCAACGTCAAATAAACCAAATGCTATTATGTTATATTAAACAGTGACAATAACTTATTTAAATATATTTTAGTAATTAAATATTTTTTACAAAGTATGACAAACTTTAACCGAGAGACGTGACCGTAGATATCAAATATACCAAAAGCTGCAACGGTTCGTCAAATATACCAAATATTGCAATGGTTCATCAAATATACTAAAGATTACAATGGTTTGTAAAATAAAACCAAAAGTTGCAATGATTCGTCAAATAATCCAAATATTGCAACAGTTCAATTAAATAGTTACAATCTCATTTAAATATATTTTAATAATTAAAAATTAAGAACTAAAAATAATAATTTATGAAAGGTTACACCGACGGTAGATGATTAAATGTTATGAAGATTTATAAAATAAACTTAAAGTTGCAATTGTTCATGAAATCAACTAAATGTTGTAATGGTTCAACTAAATAAGGATAGGGTTTGCTTATTATCATCATAGAACAAATAATCGTTGTAGCAGGACAAAAAATTGGAGTTTCGAAAAGAAAGAAAATATATAGAGTTGAAAATGCACGATTTTACAACTATTCGATAAGTCCATTACGTAGACGAACGTGTCCGTTACAGCTTTAATGTGTGGGGCTCATTTCACTCACGTATGTCCAAATTATTTAAACCTCTATATTATTGTTTTCCCATGATATCACGTAAATGTTAAATGAATGATATAATTAAGGAGGTTATACTACTAAATATATCCATATGTAAACTATGAAATAAAACCAATTTTATATGTAGTTTATTGGTTTACGTAAAAAGAAATTCAATAAAACAACATGACCGTACAAAAATAACTGTAAGAAAAACAACCATAAATATTTAAACGAAAGGTTGCAATAAAAAGACGCAACCGTTCAGATGTGCAAATGGTATTTATTGGAAACGACATAACCGTAAAAAAATAACCGATTAAAACGAAAATTGCGATAAAATGACGCAACCAAAATAACCGTAAAAAATAACCGATTTAAACGAAAGGTTGCGATAAAAAGACGCAACCGTTCAGATGTGCAAATGGTATTTACTAGATTGCTATTATATATAGATTATGTAGTCTTTTTTATGATTGGCTGAACTTTTTAAAAGTAGATCTTCTTGATCTGCGTGCTTTTATCTAAAACGACTTAGATTATGAAACGAATGGAGTATAATCTTATTATATAAAATATGGTTTTTAAAGTTAGTAACTGACCTGAATTCGGTTCCGGTCCGGTTCGGGTATCGCCGGATTCGGGTCGGTCTGGGTAATAACTATGAAAACTGGATAAACCCCGAAAAATTAGGGTTCCCATTGGGTTCGGATCTAAATGGGTAAAATTACCCATAAACCCAAAATATGTCTCCATTTAAAATGCCTTCGAATTTGATCAATCATTTTAGGAAACAAGAAACAAACTTTAATGGGCCCAGGGTCCAATAAACCAATTGGGTTATTCCTAGACTTTTCTCCTCCTCCTCCTGTTGTCTTCCAATTCGGTATACAAAGACAAATTTAAACCTCTGAATTCAACCTTCTCGGCGAAGAAGAAGAAGAAGAGAAAATGGCGATTTGCATGTGTTGCGACTCACATCTCGTAGCGAAATCGATTATGAATCCATGGAATTCGCCAATAAGAACGAAGCTAGGTTTTGTACCAGTAGGTCGCCGCTTCCCGGCTACTACTACCGTCAAAGCTTCGGCGGTGGATTCACCTGAGAGTTCTTCAAATTTCGCTAAGCGTATGGATCAAGCTTGGATTATCTCACAGGTTCGTATCTACCGAGATTTGTATAGTATTGCTCCCACTTGTTGCTACTTTGGTATGTATGATTTTGTTGGATCTGAGTAATCACAAGAACTGATCCTTCATGATTAATGGCGTCGTATGGTTTTAGGTTTGAATACGAGTTTGGGAAAATTCAGTAAAAGAAGTAAATAGTATCAGCAAGTTCAGAAGGTCTTTTATCGAGAATCTGTAATTGCCAAACATTTTGGTCACAATTCATTTGATTTGTGACATATGATGACAACACTTTAGCTGCTTAATCAGTTTGTACATTTTGTCTATCTTCTTTGCGATCCTTGAGTGATGAGGCGTATGCAGACTAATCTCGCAACGCGCTGTAGTTTTGTAGTCTTGCTTCTACAATTGTTGGATTATCTACTTTTACTCTAATATTTCTCTCAAGGAATCAATCAAATGTTTAAGATTTTGAAGCCTTTCTTCTAGAATTTTCAGTTTCATCAAGGTTTAAGATTGAACTCGTGTGCCGTTCTTTACAGATCAGTAAATCGGTCCTGTATTTTTCTAGATGTTAGTTGACCTGCGGTTCGATTCAATGATTTTCTTTGTCAGCAACCAAGTCCTGTTGGATGTTCATCGTGCAATTCAAAGGGTCATGTTGAATGTAAATGGTGTGCGGGTACAGGATTCTTCATCCTCGGTGATAACATGCTTTGCCAGGTACCCTCAAGGAATACTTCTTGCGTCATCTGCTCCGGACAGGTTTGTAATCCAATAAGTGCAGACACATGTTTGTTGTGTCTTCTTGTTTATATATCTTCTTCACAAGTATGAACATTCGATTCTTTCAATGGGTTTAGGGTTCTGCTAGCTGTAGCGATTGCAAAGGAACGGGATTTCGTGCCAAGTGGTTGGAAAAGCCTCCAGTGCCGACATAACTGATGAAGAAAAGCAAGTTAAGTTTTTTGGTCTTTGATGATTTCTTATTGACCAAAAATGTTTATATTGATTCAAGTGGAATATGAATTATACATGTCTTATGTATATAATGTGTCAATGTATGTTCATTTATTCTTTTCCCATTGTTCTGTTTGTACAACCAAAGGCTACACAAGAGTTCTTGTAATCAACACACGTGAGTTTTACGATTTGATCATTAGAGTAGCTCAACGGAAGAACATTAGTAGCACCGGATTGCCTTCGTATTTCTTTTGATCTTTTCATGTGGTAGGGTTGAATCATGTGTATCTTTCTTACACTCGTTAAATCTGGGTGTGGTGTTTCTGTAATAGAACTGCGATCATCGTCATTCTTAAAACAATTTCTACCTAACAAATCCAACCTAAGCTAGTTAGTTTAGAAATTGTTTTTAGATTAGTTTTGATGTCATAATCGTAAATAAGAGATTCTTTAAATTTTACACAATTAGATGCATTTTTTCTTTCTCTGATCCAATTTTTCTATATCAATTTGTGTGTTATATATCTTTTTTTTTGATATAATTGTAAATATCATTAGAAAATGAAGATGTTTAGGAATTACAATAGTAGTCCTATGATTTTTGAGACCTTGCCAAAAAAGAATAAAAAACAAGGCGACAAAAGGTTATGAAATCACAAGCATGAGAACCGCGAAGTCATCTAATCCAAAGTTGCATTAAGTTACCAAAATGCTTCCTTTTTCTACGAGCCGAGATAACGTTCCGGACTTCTTTGTCAATCATTCTGAAAATGGATTGGTGTGGCACGACGAGGTGATTATGAAGTACATTGTTTCGCTGCTTCCAAAGGTGAAAAACTGTGGCTTGAGCGACCAACTTTCTGAGCAAAGATGGAGTGTTATATATCTTTGTATAACAATGTAACTAAATTTAGTTTTGAAGGAGTATAGAAACAATTGTAATCGGATAGAATCTCAT